AAAGGCTGACATTTATTGAGACTGTTCATGCTGAAATACTTATAGAAGAACCCCTCTGACATTTATTGAGACTATTCATGCTGAAATACTTATAAAAGAATCCCCTCTCTTGAATTCTTTCTCGACTTTCTCCATGATCGAAAGATTGCAAAATTGTGCTCAACTCGGCGCAGTTCGGCTTGGGCGGGGGGGCATTTTGCAGTTTCCTCACATCCCATCGACGTGTTCATGTCTTTGCAAGAGATGAGAGGTATTCTTCATAAAAAGTGGCAAGTAGTTTCTACAAACCCTGACTAGTATCGCTTCATGGTTTCACAGGAATTCATAGGTCTCCACTTGATGGCGCGACATAACAATGGGAAGTAGCGAAAGTGCAAATTGCCCCTCCAGAGCCGAACTGCGTCGTCAATTCTGTCACGAACAGCCTGGAATTTCGTGGATCGGCTCAGTTATCGCAATAGTTGTTCGGTTTAATTTTGTTAGGCATAACTTCCATGTAGTTGGATTTTCAGGTAAAGATGGATCTAGAGGAAATGAGTGAATTGTGTGAGGAGTCTGAGCAAGTGGTCAACTCATTAATACTTCGCTACGTTCTAATATTTAACGTCCTTTGCGGTGTCATTGCTATTCCTTTGATTATGCTTGTGATAAAAGCTACTTTCACGCACAATCTAGTGCATTACAATATCAAATGGATTCTGATATTTCACCTATTGTGCCTTGTCGCCCATGACATTTTCAGGTAAGCTGTTTTAATTAAGTAATTTTTTGAAATGGTACAGGGCATTTACCAAATGTTTCTGAAAGAATGGCACAGTAACAAAATGGCAGCTGGGAAAATAATGGCATGTTATTTAATTGGTTTCAGTTGTTTTTGGATTTGTCAGCTGCTGTTTTTGCATGCGATTATTATCGCATGTAGAGTGCAGATGACGTTGAGCGATGGGAGTGGGAAGTTAGATCCACGTCGCGGCAAAGGTGGCGAGTGGGGAAATTTCTTGCAAAATGTATTCCCTCTCAAAATTTTCTCCTCTGTTGCTATCGCCCCCCCCCCCCGATCCATCCTTCCTCTTCAAAGTTCTCC